ATGCTTCGGGCCCAGGCTTGAGGAGGCCAGAAGAGGAAGCGGACAGGAGCAGGAGAGCCTTCCTCTGCAGCCGGTGAGTCAGAACACACACGGTGCATCAACCCCACGTTATAAAGTACGGTCCCTGGACGAGCAATGTCAAAACCATCTGGGAACTTGCTAGGGACAACTCCAGGACCCCACCAGACCCCCTCAATCTGTAACTTGGAGAGGAGAGCAGCACTGTGTTTTAGAACCAGCTTTCTAGGAGAGAGAGTGTGCTCACCTCCCTGAGACCTTACGGGGCTCTGGTGGGCTCCGCCACCTCCTCGAGGGTGAAAAGTGCCAAGCAAGTACTCCGATGCACACTGCCCTCTGCCAGCCCCTTGCTGAGGCTCGGACGTGAGGCTCGTACATGCCCAGCCAAGTACATGGTCCGCATCTGACATCCTGCTTGCAGCTAGGTCGCCCCTCTGGCTAGATTTCACAGGAATAAGCTCTTGTTTTTCAACCTCATTCTTATGCTGGATATAATAGTTGACTTTAAGTCATTTCTGTATTTTTCTCACCAATTTTTGTCAAAGGCCATGGGACCACTGTTCTCTGTCCTTTCTGCTCTAGGGCCAGCAAAGCCAGTGCAGAAGAGGGAAAGGTGCAGTCTCTCCGTCAGCGTTACCTAGGAGGGCAAACTTGGAAAACACTACGTGTCTGCCTCAAGGGACTGGGTACATAAAGTTATGACACACTGATAAAGGTGGGATATGAGCTTTCAAGTCACATCGTGGAAACATACTGTACTCTCGAACATGATTGGAGGCCCATATTATATTGGGGTTTTAAAAAACTGCCACCGAGAGGATATGGTTTTGGTTGCACACGCCAGAAGCCCCAAATTCACACGTGTTGGCCGACTGCATCCCCAGAGCGCATGGAACGCTCACTTGCCGGTGTCTATCCACCAGACGCGCTCACATTTGGCAGAGAACCAGAGGTAAGGCAGAAGAGGGTGTCCAAGGAAATCCCCCACGACACAGGCGAGGCCCAGATGTTCGGCTGAGGCCCGCCACGACCAAGACCAGAAATGACATTAATGTTAGAAGTGATACAGGTAAGGAGTATTCGGGGAGATGATAACGTTTTGCTGATATCTGCAAAAAGGGGAGAAAGAGGAAAGCATATGGAAAGACCGAAAAGGCAGTGAAATACAGGCAGCCTTGCCATGAGGAGCTAAGAAAATTACTGGTAAAAAAATCAAACTTGTTGTGCTCTAATAAGGAACCTTAACTTGGTGAGAAATTCCTTCCAAAGAGAAGAATCAAAACAAAGGGCCAATCTCTCCGGTGACACACTTGGTTTCTACAAGGCCACCCCTATCTTTATCACACACACACACACACACACACACACACACACACACACACACACGTTGTTGTTGTTTACATTAAACTAAGGCAGTAGCATCTGGCAAAACTCTCCGCCCTCAATCCTTCCTCTCTGGCTCAAGCAAACTGAGTGCAAGACCAGCTGGAGGCCCTGACAGTGTATCTTTGAAAAGACCAGCCCATCCCTTGATTTACTGACCAAGATCCACACCTCCTCCCACCTCGTGGTGTCTGATACTGTATATTTGATGGAACCTAGAGAGGAGACTCCCCTGCAGGCTGGGCTCGTAGAAATCACGTCTAGTGTAGGTTAAATATTTCCAAAGGGGAGGGAGAAAGCTAACTATAAATAAATCAGTGCTACTCAGACCTCCTGTCAGTTGCCTTCACCGAAAATGCAGAAATGTACAACCTACTGCTTTAAATCAGGGCTCTCATCACCTGAGCTCCTAGAAATGTGGTGAGCACTAAATTCCCCTAAAAAGAACTGTTTAAGAAGTTAAAAAAAAAAAATAAAGACCATATAATCCAGTTGCACATCCAGATTTAAGCTTTTTGTACTTACATTCCTTTCCAAATTGATAGTCCAGCACTATGACCATTTTGAACACAACTATTTCGAAACTACAAATTTTCATGTACTACTTTCTCCTGGCCCTAGAGTCTTATGAAAAACAGAGAATCAAAATTCCAACCATTTACTCTCATTGGACTTTTCTTAGTTTTAGCTAAAATAAAAGAAAGAAAGTCCCCCTCTTTCTACACTTTCTAGCTGGGTCATGACATTGCACCTGTAGGATTCTCCTGTAGAGGAGCAGGGCGGTTCTTTGTCTCAAGCTTATGCCATATAGTTGGAAGAGTGCAGACATTTCAGCCCAGAGGAGGCCCAGTGGCACCTACAAAACTCCATAAGCAATTCAAGGTCATCAGAAGACCCGGGTTCTCACTTGTGTATACAACTTGCCAATTACATGACCCCAGCCAAGTCATTATGCACTGTGACATTCGTTATGTCCACTTAATAGCAGGGAAAGAATATATCACTTTCCCCACCTTCTCAACAGGGTTTAGGGCAAATAAAACAATAGACGTCACATCAGCATGTGAGGCAGCCCTGGATGGCTCATGTCCTGGGATCCCAACGTTCCTCCTTTCCTCCCTCCCTCCTTTATATCTCCTGTCTGAATTAAATGTCCTGGGTATTACAAGAAATGCCAAGATAACTCAGAACTTAAAACTCTACAGGAAATTATGTTTCTACACATGTTAAGTGATAGGCAAGAAATACGGAAATATGCTCTAAGAGTTACAAAGAGGAAAGAGAACTTTCTGCTAGAGGAGTCTAGGAAAACCTCATGGAGAAAGGGGTATATGCGCAGGTCACTGAAATTTGGATAAAACATGGACACTGTAGTTAACGGTGGAAAAAGGCATCTCAGAGGCACAAAGAAGGAAAAGCGTGGCGCATACACAGGAAGGATAAAGTTGTGTTGCCAGAAACCCAGAACCCCCTAAAAGTGAACAGAAGGGAATAACACCAGAGAGGCAGGCTGCAGCCGGACCGGAGAAGGCCCTGCAGTCAGGCTGAGTTTGCACTCTGGCGGCACCCTTGCCCGCGACCCCCATGTGCCCACACTCCCCGTCTGCATCAAATACCCCGTATGCCTCACTCCCCCTCACCCCTCTCACTCGCCAGCCAGTCAGCACAGGCAGTTCTCCCTGCCATCCCTCAAACTGCCCCCTACTAATTCTCACCTGGATTCCTGAAATAGGCCCCTGCCTCCGCTCTCCTCCCGTCCCCCTGCAAGTGATCCATCCTCAGCACTCAGGTCTGGCCGGCCCCAAATACAGTCTCACCACGTTACTTCCCGGTTTAAATTACCCACAGATAACACGCCAACACCTCCATGACATGCAAGGTGTTCTGTGACGGGGGCCCGCTCCAGCCTTCACCTCTGGCTTCTCCCTCGTGAGCCCCCAATCCTGCTACACTGACCTCCTGGCAGCTCCTTAAACCTGCACGTTCTCCAGTCTCTCTGAACCTCTGAATTTGTTGTTCCTTCTGCATGGGACCAATACTCCCCCTTTTTCGGACTAGATGACACCTCCTTTCTCTTTGAACACTCAAATCATCATTAATACTTCCAGCATACATTGCGCTGGAAGTATTAGCCAATAGGTTTAGATAAAATAATAACAATAATAACAATAAAAGGTTCAAGTATTGGGAAAAAGAGGGAAAGTCAGAATTTGCACATACGACTAGATTTAGAAAACACAAGAGAATCAACTAAATGAAAGTAAAACAATGGTAGAACTCAGTAAAGAATAGTTACAAAATTTATATACAAAAACCAATAACGTGTCTTTATACAATGGCAACTAGTTAGAAACTATAATATAGAAAGTGTTCCATTATGGAGAATAAGAAAGGTAAAATAAGAAAAAATTAATCAGGAATTGTTAAGGACTGATATAAAGAAAGCTTTAAAATTCTGGGCACCTGGGTGGCTCAGTTGGTTGAGCGTCCGACTTTGGCTCAGGTCATGATCTCATGGTTCACGAGTTCAAGCCCCTGGTCAGGCTCTGTGCTGACAGCTCAGAACCTGGAGCCTGCTTCAGAATCTGTGTCTCCCTCTCTCTCTGCCCCTTCCCTGCTCGTACTCTGTCTGTCTCTTTCTCTCCCTCAAAAATAAATAAAACATTAAAAAAATTTTTTAAGAAAACTTTAAAATTCAACTAGAAAGATAAACCTTGCATCCAGATAGCAAGACCCACTGCAGTGTAAGCTCCCCAAAGGCACGGGTCTTCTCTGCTTTGTTCACTGATGCACTCCAAGTACCAAGAACACTATCCAGAAGGTAGAAGGTGGTGGGCACTCCATAATACCTACTGAATTAATAAATACCTAAAACAATCTAAAAAGTCCATGTGACCAACAAAATACAAATAGGATTTATATTCTATTCTGGGAGAAACTAACAGAGCTATCAACCTTCTACTTGAAAAACACACACGGGTAAGATCATTTTTTACGAGCACAAATTCAAGCATTTGGGGTTACGGAAGGCCTGGAGGGCTCAAAGAGCCCAAATGTTATTGGCGGAACTATGAACTGGCACGGTCTTCTGAAAGGACAACTGTGAGCAAGCCTTGACCGTGGCGATCCGTAGTGTCTCCAGGTCGCTTCTGCTATTTTCCTCACACAGTGATGGCGGTGTTAATTGAAGTCATCCGTGTAAAGCACTTAGCACTGTCTCTGGCAGAAAGCAAGCACTCAAACTATAAGCTATTATTATTAAGCTGCCTACAGAATCTTTTCGAGAGTTCTAAGCACTACAACTGCAAAAGTCATCAGGAAGCGTTTGATTTCCAACAAGAGCCAGGCCTCCCCATCCACCTCTGCAATAAATAAGCACACTGTCTTCCTAACCACACTGAAAACAAACTAGAAGCCGCGCTTCTGTGTTTCTTACTTTTGTTACCGTTTCAAAATTAAGCTGACTTTGTCAGACCCCAGGCACAGTCTCATCTTAGAAAGCTAGAGTTTAAATAACCTTTATAAACTCAGGACATCTTTCTTTGCCCCATTCTGACATCTGGACCATGGCTGACATGGTTAGCACTGGAATCACTCACCACAGTGGGGGGGTCATTCCATTCTTCATAGGAGAGGGCGGCATAAGGATATATGCGGTCGTTGATGATCTGCAGAGTGGCCAGGGCAATGGCTTTAATTGACTGGAAGTATGCTTCCCAGAACCACCGTGCCTGTAAGGAAAACAACACTGTCTTAAGTAAGCAAGCAAGGGAGACAGAGTACAAGAACTAGATGCTCTATCACAGGCAACTCTGGGTCTGGGTAATTCCTTTATCCCCAAAGGGAGAGAGCCTACGGCAAGCGTTCCCTGCTGTTCAAGCCAGCTGCAGCAGAATGGGGGCATTTGTCAAATCCAGTCAAAACAGAGAGGGGGCAAGTGAAGTGCACATTGGATTCTATCTGAATATACGAAAAACTATGTCTGGTGAAAATGTCAACACCTTATAGCAGAGCAAGTTATAGTCCTTTTTTAGATAAAATGTACAAATCTTAAAGTTTATAATTCAATGAATTTTTGGGTACGTACATACTCTTAAAACTACTACTCCTATCAAGACATAGAACATTCCAGCACCCCAGAAGATTCCCTCAGGCTTCCCAGGCGCTTTCTCAATCACCCAAGAGTAATCATTATTCCGATTTCCCTATTGTGCCTGCTACTGAATTTCATACAAATGGAATCAAAAACAGTATTTATTCTCTTGTGCCTGACTTCTTTTGTCAATAGTTAGAACATTTAAGTCAGATTTTGCTGCCAAGGTTATGCTGGCCTCATAAAATGAGTTGAAAGTGTTCCTTCTTTTTTATTCCCTGAGAAATTTAATGCAAGGTTGGCATTATTTCTTTCTTGAAAGGTTTAGAAGAATTCACCCAAAAGCCGTCTGGGCTAGGTATTTCTTGGCATGTGAAGGTTTTAAATCATGGATTGGCCCTCTTTCATTGACACAGAATTATGCATATTTTAATCACTGTGTCGGATTTAAAAGTAGTATTTTTCAAGGAATGTGTTCTTCTAAATTGTTAAATTTATTGGACAAAATCTATTCAATGCATGTAGAATTTGCAATAATATACTGCTTTCCATTCTTGATGTGATAATCTGTATATTTTCTTTGCATTTCTTCCTAGAGGTTTATCAACTTTATTAATCTCTTCAAAAAAACCTATGTTTGGTTTCGCTGATTTTCTTTATCATGCTTTCTTCTTTTCTTATCTTTCTATCTTGTCTGCTATTATTTTTATTCCCTTCTATTTGGGGGGACTTTAATTCATCTTGCATTTAGCTTCTTTTAAAAAATCTTTTAAAATATTTATTTATTTTTGAGAGGAGAGAGAACATGAACAGGGGAGGGGCAGAGGGAGAGAGGGAGACACAGAATCTGAAGCAGGCTCCAGGCTTCAAGCTATCAGTGAAGAGCCCGACACGGGGCTTAAACTCTAGAACTGCAAGGTCATGACCTGAGCCAAAGTCAGACGCTTAACCAACTGAGCCACCCAGGCGCCCTGCATTTAGCATCTTGAGACTGAAGTTTAGGCTGCTGATCGTAATCTTTCTTCATTTCTAATATATGCATTTAAAGCTATAAATTTACCTCTATGTATCATTTTAAATGCATCCTACACAATTATAGGGCATTTGCATTAAAGTTTAGGTAAAAAAATTAATTTTTTAGAAGTATACCGTTCAATCTCCATTTTGCGACTTTCTACTTATCTTTCTGTTATTGATTTCCACTTTAATTGCACTGTGGTCAGAAACCATGTATTATTTCAAAACTCTGCCCTTTATTCCTGATTACATTTAGGCTTGCCTCTGCCTTCAGCTTGGAGCAGCTCGCCTGTGACGGACCTAGGCATGGCTCGTTGCATTAGCCCCACTGAGCTTTGAGCTTCTTCACTCTGTGGTTTGACATCTTTCATGATTTTCAGACAAACCTTCGCCAGTGTTTCTTTAAATATTGGTTTGTCTTACTCTCTTCTCCTCAGGCTCCAGACATACACACAGAAATGTTTCCACCAGGCCCCACCGGTCTCTTAGTCTCGTTTCTGTGCTGCAATCTGAGCATTTGCTACAATATTCTCCTGGTCTAATAATCTTCTGCCCTTTATGTGTGTGTCTATACTGCTATTATGCCCATAGATTCCCTTCTTAATTTAGTTCATGTTTTTCAGTTATAGAATTTCCATCTGACTTTTTTTTTTTTTTTTTTAAATGTTTTATTTATTTCTAGGTGAGAGAGAGAGAGCGTGAGCAGGGGAGGGTCAGAGAGAGAGGGAGTCACAGACTGAAACAGGCTCCAGGCTCTGAGCTGGCAGTCAGCACAGAGCCCGATGCGGGGCTCGAACCCATGAACCGCGAGATCATGACCCAAGCGAAAGTCGGACACTTAACCGGCTAAGCCACCCAGGCGCCCCACCATCTGACTTTTTTAAAAGTAGATTTCATATCTTTGTTGACATTCTCTTATTTTATGGAGCATGGTTCCTAATCGGTAACCCCAACATCTGAATCACCTGTGGGTCTCTTTCTACTCTCTGGATTTACTCTTCGTTTTGGCCATCTATCTGGTTTCCATTTCTAGCGTACCTCTTAATTGTTTATTGGACACCAAAGGTTCTATATTAAAAACTGTAGAGGTTCTGATGTACCAAATTATCTCCCTCCTAAGACTGTGACATTCCTTCTGGAGGGCACAGGGAATGCAGTCAGACCACTGTAATCCCATCAGTGAGTGACTTCACCTTTTGTTAGGGCTAACTTCTCTTGGCTTTCCCCTACTCCTATAGTGTGGCTCTCTGGGGCCTTCAGGTAGAGTCTGGAGTGTCCACCAGGCAAGGAGCGCCACACTCCATGTCACCAGCACTGCATCTGGTGGCTGGAATGTTTGCACAGCTTGTCAGGTCCCAGGCGCTGCTCTCTGCGGGGCTTCTTAGGGTCTTGCTCTGCTCGCCTCAGGAGCTGGCAAACACTTCAAGGGGAGACCACAGGCCCATTTTTGCTTACTTCCTGTGGTTCCCATATTCCAGGGAGTTTGTCTTTCGAGTCCCCGATGCTTTGGGGTACCCCTAATTCCAACCTCTCAGCCCTAAGGGGCTGCTGCTTTCTGCTCAGACTCCAGAGGCAGACTGTGAATTAGAAAGTGCCCCCAGGGAAAAAGGAGGGACCATGTCGCTCAGCATGAGTCCCTTCCTTCAGGAACCTCAGCCCCTCAAGAGCTGACTGTGCTGATGGCTCTCCAATGCCTCTAATTTTATCTATTTTAATAAGCTTTGATACTTCTTTTTCTTTTCCTGGAAGGAGGGTTAATCTAATATCAGCTACTCTGTCACAGCCCAATGTGGCTCTTTGAAAGAAGACAATTTTCTTGTGGAAGCAGAGTTCAGATTCAGTCCCCAAGAAATCAAGACGCTGGTCTATGTGACTTGTCCAGCTTCACTGAGATCTGTGATTCCCCTTGGAATCAGAGGCCATGAGGATTTCTGCAAGAGAGGGGCCATTTGAAAATGAGTCATGAGGGGCGCCTGGGTGGCTCAGTCAGTTGAGCGTCCGACTTCGGCTCAGGTCATGATCTCACAGTTTGTGGGTTTGAGCCCCGCGTCGGGCTCTGCGCTGACAGCTCAGAGCCTGGAGCCTGCTTCAGATTCTGTGTCTCCCTCTCTCTCTCTGACCCTCCCCTGCTCACGCTCTCTCTCTCTCTCTCTCTCTCTCAGAAATAAATAAAACATTAAAAAAAATTTTTTTTTAAAAGAAAACAAGACATGAGAAACTCGGAATATAACTGAAACAGGCGGAGGAAAAAGATACTTTCTAGTCTATACCTGCTGACTTTTGTTCTGTTTCCCCAGTAAGTTCTCCATTCGTTAAGGAAAGTTTATGATGACTATTCTCTCCACTAAGTAGAAGAATGAGGCAAAGCCTCACAATGAGAGTTTCTGCTACTCAAGGAAAAACTGGCCCAGGGTTAGCCAAGAAGGGCACCTGACGTACGCGGCCCTGTCGTCTGGCATCTCGGTGCAGCCTCATGGCTGGCTGCATGCCACTGCTTCTTAGATGCACCCTGCCCACTCCAGTGTCATTTCTCCTTAGTCATGTTGCTGCTGTCCTGCCCACCATCCAGTGAAAATATTTACATTTTCAGAGACCTGAAAGAACCCATCTTCCCTGTGAAACCTTCACTGATCACCCCAAATGCCAACAATCTCTCCTTGCCGTGAAATCCCACAGCACTCACAGCCATTACCTCACAGGCTGTTCCTGCTATCCACTGTTCTAGAACGGTTCTCCTGTTATTTCAGATGATCGCTTTTCCCTCTCCAGCTAGACTGCGGGTTCCTCGCAGGCGTCAGGACGTCTGACCCGCTGCAAAGCACTCCTGCACGCATGATCTCATTTGCTATTTCTAACCAGCAAGTCGCTTCTATGCAACCATTTCCTGTTCTGCGTGAGGAAACCAAGATCCAAAGATGCTAAATGGCAGAGTCACAACTCAAGCCCAGGACGTGTCCCAACTTGTTCTAGAGCGTCAGGAGTACCAGCCACACCAAATTTTAGGAACCGATCCTTTCTCAAGAAACTGAAAGGTGTGAAAATTCACTAAGAAGTATGAGCCCACACAAACACACACACATCTTAAACATTACCTCCTTTTCTACCCCAACAATCCATTATGTATTCTTTCATTTTAAATCATACTCAAATTAGCCCACACTCAAACTTCAGCACCCCGGAGCTTCAGGTTCCCACTCCACCACAGTGGGGACAGTAGCCCTTGGGATTTATAGGAAACAATGACTGGTAACGAATCTGCCTAGCATACCAGCCAAAGGCACAACTGTAGGATAAAGCTTCTAATTTAAGGTGTCTCAAATCATCTTATCCTCTCCACCAAATTGTAATTCACAATTGAAGCTTTGCAAATAATCACAGCTCCAGTGTCTCACCCTGAGGGTAGGAGAACTTCTCAGGCCTAATTATTTTGCTAACACCTTGTAGTATTGAGAAGGCACTATAATTTACAGCCCCTCCAGGACTCAGTATCAGCCACTCGTCGGCAGAGAGGAAGAAGTTTTCACCTATGCTGGCTCTGCATGAGAAAGCACCACTGCTCCCCTCCAGTAAGCAAATGCTTGTTATGTTTTCGTTTCCTTTTTTTCCCCAAAACAGGGGCTA